GGGGGGGGGAAATGGGTCTGTTCCCAGGGTGGGTCCTGGTGTGTTGGACAGCACTTGGACATTAGGGAGGTGCTGCATTGGTTGTACCTTCAAGAGGCACTAACTCAACTCTCAATTCGTAAGTCTCTGTATTTAGGGCCAATACTCAAGTTTGGCTCTGAAGAACAGAAGCACAAATGGATTGCTCCCTTCACCAGCGGAGAGAAAATCGGCTGTTTTGCCCTTAGCGAGCCAGGTGATGTGACTGTTACCGTTCCTGCTGCGAAGAATGTGGGGTAGCTTCCTTCCTTAGTCAGGTTTAGGATGGACTTTTGGTCTGTGAAATTGTAATGGTTTGTAGAAAGGTGGTTTATAGCAGTTCTGTGTAAATGAAGCTCTGGAGACGGGCACATCAGACGGGTGGGCCTTCCCCCTTCCTCTGTGGGTGCTGTGGGAGGGACAGTGCTGACGCAGTTACACGAGGCACCGTGAGTCGACGGGGGGGTGCGGGTGGGGGGTTTACGCCCCAGGCTGCCACTGATGGTGAGTTTTGTTTGCTGGTGCCCCGCTCAGGAAATGGCAGTGACGCAGGTGCGGCATCCACGGTGGCACACCTGGACGGGGACGAGTGGGTTCTGAATGGCACCAAGGCCTGGATCACCAACGCCTGGGACGCCTCGGCCACCGTGGTGTTTGCTACTACGGATAAATCCCTGAAACACAAGGTGTGTTCAGTGGGTCAGTCAGGAAAAAGGGCAAGGAGTAAAGGAGCTGTGCAGGAGAAGCGCTTTGAAAAGGCTCTGGGGACTCTGTATTTGGGAGTTGGGCAGGCATTGAGTAGAGGAGGGGCTGATGTGCGCTGGCTTTGCTCTGTCTTGGCTCCCCTCCCTTCTCCTGGTTGCCTGGACACGTGGCTTTTGTGAAGAACATTTGGGGGAAGCCTGGTGACAGCCAGGTAAGTGGGAAGGTGGCACCACTCCTAAGAGTTTGGGTCTTGTTGCAGGGCATTAGCGCGTTCCTGGTTCCCATGCCAACTGCTGGGCTGTCACTGGGGAAGAAAGAAGACAAGCTGGGAATCCGAGCCTCTTCCACTGCCAACCTGATCTTTGAGGACTGTCGGATACCCAAGGCCAACCTACTGGGGCAGCTGGGAATGGGCTTCAAAATCGCCATGGTAAGAGGTGGATCAGGGTGCAGCTGCGGCTGTGTAAAGCCAGAGATCCCAAGCTTACCATTTTCAGACTTACCACCACTTTGGTGAGAACCACTAGCATAGGCTGTTCTGTGTAACGTTAAGCAGTTGGCCTCTCTCGCCAACATGGGAGAAATCATTCACAGAGCGTGACGAATCGTTAATTTACCACAGATCCTTGACAGCGCTTTTTTTTGTAGACCCAGTGTAGTGGTTTTCGGATGAAGGAATGCTGATCCCGCTGAGGTGCTGTGTCCGCAGGGGTGGTGTATTTTGATTTTTCTCCTCTCCCAACCCTCTGTTCCTCCAGTTTGTACCCATAGATAAAGGGAAAACACCGCATTTTCCCTAAACACTTTTGGCAGAGGAAAGCTGTCCAGGAGGCCCAGGACAGCCTCTGGATGGCGTCTAAAGGTGGATGAAATCAGCGTTGCATCAAGAAGAGTGTGGCCAGCAGGACGAGGGAGGTTCTCCTTCCCCTCTACACTGCCCTGGTGAGGCCCCATCTGGACTACTGTGTCCAGTTCTGGGCTCCCCACTTCAAGAAAGATGAGGAGCTACTGGAGAGAGTCCAGCGGAGGGCTACAAGGATGATGAGGGGACTGGAACATCTCCCCTACAAGGAGAGGCTGAGGGAGCTGGGCTTGTTCAGCCTGGAGAAGAGAAGGCTGAGAGGGGACCTAATAAATGTTTATAAATATCTGCAGGGTGGGTGTCAGGGGGATGGGCGCAGACTCTTTCCAGTGGTGCCCAGCG